GTATGCTCATTTAAAAAAAAAAAACCATACATATATTGAAATGATAGGCTCACTGAATGGTGAACCCAGACTGTGAGGTATCCTGTCTCATTGATCGAAACCAGACCAATGGTTTGATAATTGTAGAGCCCACACAATCAAGTATATTCCCTAATATCTAACTGTACTATAATTGTTGTAGCATTCTTATACTAAAACCAAGTACTGTACTATTATTACTATGGTAATGCCAGGAATTTCTTCACAGGTCTCTCCCTAGCTAAACCTCTGATCTACACTATCAATAATTTGTGATAATTATGTCTGATTTACCCATTGGGCAAGATTTACAGTAGCATTATAACTTTTTTTTTTAGTAGCAGAACCATTTCAAATACATTGAAAAGGAAGGGAAAGATGTGCTAATTCTTTTGAACTTCCAAACATCCCCTTCAACTCTTTTGTAGTTGGTGGATTTAACAAAGAGTATAGAATAGGAAGAGGTCCGACTATCCTTATTTTAAATCCACACAATGAAACGAAAAAATGCAGTACTACCATAAGATAAGGAAGGGGCACCCTATTATTAGAATTTGAATAGAGTCTGAAATTTGAACATGCGTTCTATAGACTGGAGCACATGTTCGATACAAACAACTTTTCCCAACACATGTTCGATACAAACAACATCTTTCCCTTCCTTTTCAATGTATTTGAAATGGTTCTGCTACTAAAAAAAAAAGTTATAATGCTACTGTAAATCTTGCCCAATGGGTAAATCAGACATAATTATCACAAATTATTGATAGTGTAGATCAGAGGTTTAGCTAGTTCTTTACTATTTGGTATTAATGTTGGTTTTTTTTTTTTTTTTTATCCAACCAGGATCTAAATTAAATTTGATATTTTCCATAATTTGAATCATTAATAATCTTCTGTTCTTCAAACCTTACTTCTTGAGAACTCACTTCATTTTGATATCTATGTACTTAAGCTACTCGCAATATATAATTGCTTGAAGCTTAAACATTTTAATAAGAAGATGGTAGTAAGTAATTATTTTGATATGAAATGGGCCTTCTGTGTGTTATATCTTAGTTACATATTAACCAGTGAATCAACCAAGTACTAAGCTCATACAAGGGACCAGGATGATGATGTCAGATGGTCTGGAGTAGGTTTAGCTGAGAGCAAAACATGTTGGAAATAATTTCAACAGATTAATTAATATCACAACGAATATTCATTATGAATATATAAATGGCAATTATTATTTTATTATTATTATTATTATTATTTTTATTATTATTATTATTATTATTATTATTATTATTATTATTATTATTATTATTATACTTCTTGAAACACTTTGTTGAGTGGCTTATCATTAAATATAAAATTTTATTGAAATGGTATGATAAATGGATTCTGGTTAATAAATATGATATTTATTTCTACAATGATTTAAATTTATTTAATTTTTTGGTGTTAATTCACATAAAAAAAAGATATTTAAGTTTTAATAGTGCTCAACGAAATGTCATATTAAAGTTGTATGTATGCATTATGTGCCAAGTTGTTATTACTATTTTTATTATTATATCAAATAGATATAGTCAGTTATTTCAATATACCAAATACTATCAAAAGTAATTAGGCATATAAGAAAAGTAAAAAGTTTAATAAATGTAAGATTTAACTGAAATTATTTCAAACATAATAACAGAATGATAAACATTAATTAAAATTAGTTTTCTTATATGATTATTGATACTGAAATCACTAATTTATTACATTTTTAAATTTAAGAATAAAACTTTCACAAAATCAATAAATATATCAGGGAATATAAGAAAAAAAATGTTTTTTTTTTAAATGTTGGATTTTTCAAAAAGATGTAATGGCTGGAAGCAGATCAAAATGGCTGATGTTTGCCATTTACAGATTGCACGTACCCATGTCGCAATATGGCCGCCTTACAATCATTAATAAAGTTAAAAACTAACTAGCAACTATAGCAGACAAACATAGTAGATATATGCATGATAACGCAAATTGCTAAATATCTTATTCACTTTGTAACATCGTTTACCTTGGGCCTACAACATACAAATTTATTGATCTTGAATGTTGCAAAATTGACACTTTGCTAAACACTTTTTTATAATAACATTGCTAAATTATGTTTAGACATGCTGTCTGCGAATATAGTCTGAGTACAAAAATCATTATTTGAATAAATAAATCCATAAATCTTAATAATAAACAACAAATTAATAAAGGAATAATGATGTATAAAATAATAAATAATGAAACACCCAAGTGCCTTTAAAAAGATTTCATGAACACAAACCAACTTATGATACAAGATCAAATGCTACATTAATTTACTAAAAATTAAGACTGAATATATATTAAAAAAAAGAAGTTTCGCCTACTATATAACAGCGGAGCAGATATTTGGAGCAAACTTAATATCAAAGCCAGAATTAAAATAATGCTATTACCTAGTGTGTAGTAAAAAATGTTTTTTTAGTAATATTAATCCTTGTTATCTTTTAAGAGTACAAATAGTTCATGTAGTAAATTTATGTTATAAAGAACAAAATGCTACATTACTTTATGGTAACCTCATAATTAGATTTAGATCAAGTTAGTTTTAATTATATTCTTAAACATTTAATTCTTTGTATTTGATGTTTTTCTTGGTGAAAGTCAGTTTACAATCTAATTTTATTTAAGGAATATTAATGAATATCAAATTGATCTTGTCAATTCTTTATTTAGTTTTTTAGTTAGTTTAATAAGTTTTATATATAATTTTATTTATGTACCTCACAACCTTTTGAATATATAAATGTTGGTTATTATTACATAATTTGATAATTAGCCATTTATTTGTACTGTTATCCCTCCTCCTATACCATCGTATTCTTATCCTATACTATTTTATTCCAACAAGCAATAATAAGCAACAGAAGTTGTTTCAAATGTAATAAATATCTCTTCTTATTGCTAAATAATAGACTAGTTGATACTAAATCTTCAATATGAAAATGAAATATTGACCTGACCTGAAATATAATTTCTGACCTGATATATATATATATATCATTGTAAAGTGAAAATTATGGAAATGCATTTGAAGAATTTTCTTTACAGTGAAAAAAACTGAAAGTTGAAAAATATTGTGACCTCAAACTGAGCAATTATGTTACTGAAGTAATTGGTTATTTGATTGATTAATTTGCTATTTATTGATTACAACAATATTATATAAATCTCCCCCAACCATCTTCCCACGGGAGCTGAGTATGTGTTTAATTATGTGTTTGATCCAATGATGGTGAAAATAATGTGAAGGTCACAGAGGTCACATTGGCATGATGCCTCTGTATAAGCCTGACATATATATAACCATTGTATGCAATTTACTGTTTGTTGCTGTTCAAATAGCCACTTTCATTTTGGAAACTCTTGCACGTTATTGACCATTAAAACAACTAATGTACAGAGACAAGAGATATTGTTAAACTGTACATTTTCCGGATTCAGGGAAACGTTTTACTTAATGCAACAATCAATGTGATTGCCCAATATAAAGTCGGGCCCACCCAGCACCAGCAGTTGTTGGCCAATATGAATCTGTGGAGAATGCCATTAAAAATTGCAGTTCTTCAAGTGCTCAGAGAGCGGAGACGGATTCCCCGGCCAATGATTGTATGACTGCCATGCGGGGCAGTGCTTAAAAACAACTTTGAAGATAGCCATCTAAGCTGATAATTCAGAAATACTACAGCTTAATTTTAATAACTTAGAATGTTAATAAGTGAATAAATAATATAGATATGATTTTGCATAAAAATTTCATGAAATAATATATTTATATATTATTATTTCATATTTAACTAAATATGATATAACTAGAGATATACAATAGCAAATATTAAGCTATAAGTAATTTTGGATAACAATGTAAATATATAATGGAGTTTATGGTTCTGATCTTATTTCCGTTTTTGGTTTATCTGTTAAAACTTATCGATGTCGTAATTCTATCAGTTCCTTATTTAATGTTAAATTTTCTCGTGTTAATGCTACTAAATTTAGTTTTATTGTTCGATTACCTAAATTTTATAATTCTCTTGTTGATAAAGATAATTCTATTGATATTTATTATGATTCATTTAGAATGTTTAAACGTAAAATTAAGTTATATATTTAAATTTTTGACTGTTTTTTTGTGTGATATACAATAGCAAATATTAAGCTATAAGTAATTTTGGATAACAATGTAAATATATAATGGAGTTTATGGTTCTGATCTTATTTCCGTTTTTGGTTTATCTGTTAAAACTTATCGATGTCGTAATTCTATCAGTTCCTTATTTAATGTTAAATTTTCTCGTGTTAATGCTACTAAATTTAGTTTTATTGTTCGATTACCTAAATTTTATAATTCTCTTGTTGATAAAGATAATTCTATTGATATTTATTATGATTCATTTAGAACGTTTAAACGTAAAATTAAGTTATATATTTAGATTTTTGACTGTTTTTTTGTGTGTATTGTAACTGGATTGTTCTTTATTGTTCTCTTTGTTTTATGTAATTCCATTCTGTAAGTGGCGGGCTCCCCGCTATTGATTGTGAAATGAAATAAAATAAAATATTATATTAAAATAACTATGTTTATCAAATTTAGTTAATATGATATAATTATTTTATATTTAACAAAATATAACATAGAGAATTGCAAAAAAAATCTAAAGCTAGAAATTCTTTCATAATTTAAATAATTATTATAATTTAAATAATTAATGTTATATTAGTTACTTTATATAATTATTCTATTAAATATGATTATAAAAAAAAATTTGAATAAGATAGTAAAAAACGAAATAATGACAGCGTTTTTATTACATTTAAAAAAATTTATAATAAATACCATAAATATAATTATATAATGATTATTAATTTAAATTTAAAATAAAGTAAAATGTGCATCCCGGTCTACTAACCTTGACCCGAAGCAGTCGGAGGGTTGTTGTTATTCGTGCCAATAAATTTGTTGGTCCACCCAATCACAGGTTTCTGCTCCATTTCCGGCGAAACTCCGATATACGTGAATGTCTCGTTCATATCTGGAGGGAATGGATACATATGGCATGGATTCAAAACGACGTTCTTTGTTAAGTGTTGAGAGCTAAAGGACATCTCATAAATTTGACACTTGAAAATGATCAAACACCATCACAGTCAGGGCAGGTCGGTAATAAAAATCAGATCTGTTACCGAGATAAATTGCTATACCAAAGTGACTATAATACTTGATACATCAGTGAAAAGAAAAAAATCTGATATTATCACCAATTCCGTTAGTGTTAGACCAATTTTAAACGATATCTTGATATCAAGTGTGCTTTGCCGGTTGGTGACTCTATGCTTGTTGTAAGCCGGAAATACCAATGACACCGACGAACATGCACCACTGCCTCCCCATTTAGCAATATGACTAATCAAAGATGGCAGTCGATGATAAGCTAAGTTCTATCCAATAATAAGAAGTTTGCTCACCTATAGTTGTCACTTACTATAAATCAAGCATTGGCTTTCTTTGTTTATTGACAAAGCCTGTACTAATTAAACAAATTTCTTTCTCCTTCCAAGATATTCTGGAGCACAAACAAAAGCTTTTATGTTGATAAATATTGGGCCTACTTATAGTGGGAACTGATTTTTATCATTGTTAATCCTTGGTTACACCACAAACTGTGAAGTGAATTACTGTAAATTGAGTAAGTAATTTTAATCCGTGGTTTATATACTTTGTACTATTTAAAAGTTAAGACAAAAGTTTCATAAAGAACTGAACAATAATGAATTGAATTGTGGTATTTATTGTCTCTCGGACTACGATTTGTTGTAACATTGTGTAGGTCTATGTATGCCTACTGCCATGCGAATTAACAATTATAGGCCTATTTTAATTAATTTATTTGTAGGAGCACGAGTTCGAGACCGACACTCGTTGAATTGCTTGTGTCCTTGGGCAAGACACTTTGCTTACGTTTGCCTCTCTTCACCCAGGAGTATAAATGGGACGGTCATGCTGTTAACCTGCTCGTCAGTGACCCTGCTATGACTGTTCCAGTCAATTAATAACAGCAACTAGAATCAATTACGATTCATACAAACGAACGAACAAATTATTTATTTAATGTTTCTTTATACTGTAGGCACTTTCAGTACTGATTTTCAAAGTGGTACAGTGACGAGATAAATTTTCAGTGTAATGAACAATGAATCTATATAACCTGTTTGTTCCCCGACCCAAGTTTTACATACTAAATTTTTTACTCTTTAAAGCCAAGCTTGTACTTGTACAAACTTATTTTTCTAAGACAGAAAAAGAGTGTTTGACGAAAAACTTGGGAACAGTTAACAAGATACAGATTTTTGAATATGCCTATGTAAAAACTGGGCAAAAGGTGAAAACAAGGGTGTTTATCAAAAACCAAGTCGTCCACTGATTATATTTAGATAATATAATATCGAATGTAGGTAAGAATGGCCCCGGAAAAAATGGCCCCGGTAAAAATGGCCCCAAATGACAAGTAGGTAAAAATGGCCCCAATGAAAACATTCAGTAATAGAAATTATATATATTTTTTCAATCTTCAAATATTTAAATACTGTAATAAGCAAGAATTGAATCAATAACAAATACAGTTACCGGTACACAACAGATGCAAATAATGTACTGAGAGATTATCAGAAAACAACGGCCATTGAACATTTTTTGATAGTTGAATTAAGTTTTAAAAACGATATTCCACTAACAAAGTAGAGGAATGACATACATACAGTACTTCAACTACCAAAATATGCAACTCATAGATAACCACAAAATTTAATTTTGTTAAGTATCAAATGAAATAACTTTACATGTTATAAACATTGCAAATAAACAGTAGTTAAAGCATGTGGATCAATTGTGTGTTTGAATGATAAGTTCATGTATGGGAAAAGGGAGGCTTACTTTACTTCAACAAATGTTCTGCTTAGAGTTACTTCAAAGAAGTATTTGTTAATCAGATATTGTTTTTAAAGTAAACTGAATAATTAGGAATACATTTATTTAATTGCATACTTGGTTTCTACTCCCCGCCAAGTAAATTTAAGTGCCTAAAACTATACTAAATAATGTAAACTGAGATACTATATTATATACATAGTTATGTTAATATGGCAATTATGCTAAGAATTAAAATGGCGTGTAATTGTGAGGGTAAAGTAATTATGGTAGGATCAAATGGTATTGCTAAATCCCAAAAACACACTCTGTAGAAAACCAAACAATTCAATTGTGATTGACTCACTTGGTATATCAATAAGAAAATTAAATATTTATAAGAACCTATTTTTTGGTTAAAATGTTGATTTTTTTTGGTGAAAAAATACTTGCAAATAAGCCACAATCCTCCAAACACACTGCGAACCCCATCCAAACCCTTTAATTACGATTGTAGAACTCTCTTTTTCTAAAAAAAAAATAAAAATAATAATTTGATGTTCATATAAACTCATTGTTTGTGGGGTTTACCAATACCCGGATTGAATTTCTAGAAAAATTTTGTGATTCCGCTTCCTTGAAATTGACCACAAATAAATTATTTTAGTATTAATAAATGCATGATTTATGTTGATTTATTTATTATGTTGTTGCTATTTTTTAACATTTAAATGGGAAAAAAATAAAAAGTGTTCTTCATGGCTTTTTTTTTATCTTTGGATATTTTATCATTGAATATGTAATTTCTGCAAAAAGTAAAATGTAAATGGCAGTTTATTTGATGTTAGATTCCTTTTAAAAACTAAATTATTTCAGTTTAAAAAAATGCATATAATGATTTATAAAAAATCAGTTTTAATACAGAATTTTATTATTGGGCCATTTTTACTTACCTGTCATTTGGGGCCATTTTTACCGGGGCCATTTTTTCCTGGGCCATTTTTTCCGGGGCCATTCTATCCGTACACCATAATATCATGCAGACTCCAAAAAGACTAAGATAAACCATTGATTTAATATTTCGTTCTTTATTCAAACCTCATCAGGAACACAACCATTCCTGATGAGTTTTAGTCCTGTCTCTTATACACATCTAGATGTGTATAAGAGACAGGTTCATGTATGGGAAAAGGGAGGCTTACTTTACTTCAACAAATGGTCTGCTTAGAGTTACTTCAAAGAAATATTTGTTAATCAAATATTGTTTTTAAAGTAAGCTGAATAATTAGGAATACATTTATTTAAGCAACTTATTTAATTGCATACTTGGTTTCTACTCCCCGCCAAGTAAATTTAAGTGCCTAAAACTATACTAAATAATGTAAACTGAGATACTATATTATATACATAGTTATGTAAATATGGCAATTATGCTGAGAATTAAAATGGCGTGTAATTGTGAGGATAAAGTAATTATGGTAGGATCAAATGGTATTGCTAAATCCCAAAAACCTCCTAAAACACACTGTAGAAAACAATTCAATTGTGATTGACTCACTTCTGTCTCTTATGCACATCTAGATGTGTATAAGAGACAGTACTCATATTGCTCAATTACCTTTATA